GGGGGGGGGGGGGGGGGCAGGTCTTTGTCTCACTGACATTACAGACTACCTTCAGTATGTCTGATGTAACACATAAACACCTTATAGGCTGTTAAAAATGCAAGTGCGGATTATGGGTCTTTTGGTAGTAAACAGAAAACCAGCCATCTGGCGCAGGACGTATGTTAAAGTGCAGTTAGAGCAAAGAGACAGTGACACACAGTGGCCAGAGGCCAGGCATGCGGCAGACAGTCGTCGCTCCCGCTATGCTAACCCCTCCCTCCCCATGCTGGAGTTCCTCACCAGTGAGGCTGTCGCCCCTGCAACCCATCGATTCCTGCCTCAAAGGCACTCCGTCGTGTAAGATAATTAATTAAAATTGACCCGCTCCTCTGAGAGCACACAGCCCCCCTCGTTCAGGTAGAAAGATCAGCCGCTGGTGCCCTTCTTAAAGGGACACGCGCGGCCGTGACGGCCATGCCCCGGCACACGGCCGGGTTCCGGTGGCCTTACCCTCCATGCCAAGCTGTCCACGTTCCACGTTCTTCTTGTACTGCTCCAGTTCCTTCTCGGACAGCTGGTTGAACGGGTTGGGAGGAAGAGGCTCCATCTGGTCATCTTCGGGTGCCACGAAGGGCTGGGGAGAGGCCGACATGGTTGGCATGGCGACACAGGGCTGCCTAAGCGCTCGGACACATATACACCGAAGAATACGGCGGCACAGGGCTGCCTAAGCGCTCGGACACATATACACCGAAGAATACGGCGGCACAGGGCTGCCTAAGCGCTCGGACACATATACACCGAAGAATACGGCGGCACAGGGCTGCCTAAGCGCTCGGACACATATACACCGAAGAATACGGCGGCACAGGGCTGCCTAAGCGCTCGGACACATATACACCGAAGAATACGCCGGCACACGGCTGCCTAAGTGCTCGGACACATATACACCGAAGAATACGTCGGCACACGGCTGCCTAAGTGCTCGGACACATATACACCGAAGAATACGGCGGCACATGGCTTTAGGTCGCTAGCTTTCACTGTCAGAGCCGCGTGTTTGGATGCCTCATGGCGAAACGTGTCAAGCCTTTGCTTGTGTGAGTGAGCACTAGACCCGGCTGAATCCTGGACGGTTTTACCGGAAATTACATTCCATGTAAATTGGAGAACCTGATACTGGAACGGCATTGGCTCAATTCTGTAAGTGGGAGGGGCAAAAACAAACAACACAATTGGCAGGGACCACCTGGCTCCGACAGGACTACAGCAAGGACCCCACAAAAACACGGTTTTGAGAAGCGGGGTAGTCGGGGTACACAGGTGAGCCCCCTCCTGGGTGCTCAGGGGTGGGGGGGCGGGGGGACCCTTTGGTCACCCAGTTGCCTGCTGTAGATACGGCAGATTCTCTGCAGCCGTCAGATCCAGAAACGTCATCAGGAATAAAGGGCCGTTACCCTGAGCGTTTTGGCTATAGGTCCAAAGTGCCCTTTCCCCATCTGGTCGTCTCCCTCCACTCCATGTGCCGCACAGTGTGTCCTGCCACAAAATGGCCGCTGTCCACCGGCGGCACGGAGCAGCGCTGTGGACGTCTCACTCTGGTAACCGTCACACGCTTCTTCAAACTACCAGGCCGACTTCTGTTCTTCATTTGTGTTCTGGAGCACAAATCGCTTCTAGGAAACCTCAAAACGTCATTCGGCGAGGTAACGTTACAGCAAAACCCACTAACGCAACCACAAACGACCTGGGAAGAGCATCTGAAAACACTCCGTTATTATTTTAACGTGATCCTGACCCACAATTTGGGAGAAATTAGACCAGGGGATGAAAAAATAAAAAATGCAACAATTCACTGCCTGATGTCATTGCACAAGGCTGGCGCAGAGCAACTTGGCATGAACTGCAAGCTGCTCTGAAGCTTAACACTTAGCGCCACCTAGTGAGTACTGTCAATATAGCAACATAACATGATTAAATTCATTTGTGCAGAGATTGCATTATTCTGCCTTTCCTTCCACCCTCTTAATCCATGTGCAGGACACCAGCCACAACACCAGCAGATGTGCTGATTTAAGGTCTCTTAGGAGTTTGTCCACCGTCTGACGTTCATTTTGCTGCAGGAAAGGCCATTCTACAGGCCCTGCAAAGTCCTCTTCAACAATTAACTTTGAAATTAAAACAGCATAACATCTATAATAGGATGCACCACTACAGAGTGCTGGATGATTCTTTTTAAATACAAATTGAAAAATATTACAGGTTAAAGACCCAACTGAGGTCATTCAGAATCCAGTTTGAGCAAACAGATCAAGATATAAATGATGCATGTTAAACACAAGTGTGTAAAGGGTCTATAAATGTGACGAGACGCTGAGGAACGAGGCGGTTATGGTGGGACTCACCGGCTGACGATCCACTACGATTCCGGCCAACACCAGCGACTGAGGTCCGGCTGTCATGAGGTCGTGTCTGTTCTGCTCCCGGATCTGTGAAGCATAGTGGGAAGTCTGTTAAAATGCAGCGAAACAGAAAACAAAGACGGAGACACAGAACAAAACCCTTAAGCAAACCTGAACCAGCAAAAGGCCAGACCGCCAGAGCTTGGCAGAGAAACGGTGCATTAACAGCTGTAATCAGCATCCGGCTCACTGGTGGTACCAGCAGGCCTGCTAACACCGGTGGTACCAGCAGGCCTGCTAACACCGGTGGTACCAGCAGGCCTGCTAACANGGTGGTACCAGCAGGCCTGCTAACACCGGTGGTACCAGCAGGCCTGCTAACACCGGTGGTACCAGCAGGCCTGCTAACAGCATCATTAACCTATCTACAGGAAAAAAAATTATGTCACTGAAGTACCTGACTAGCATTTCAAGGAGATGGGGACAATGATGAGGTGAATAATGTCATAATGCTGTAATGCGATTCAGCGAATCAGGGTCCGGCATGACAATTGGCCAATGAAAGAAGTCAGAGAAAAGGGCTGCGGTGTAACTGCCAATAATTTTGGGCCTGCAGGGACTGGACAGGAACTGCAATGCCGGGCTTTTCGCGGCTCCTGTACCTTTAAGTGGCCAGCCTCCGTCCCCAAAAAGCCTACAATCAGCTGACTCATCTTTAGCAGAGAGCGGACCGGGAAGCTGCTGATCCACTGTGCGAATTCGGCTCAAGGCACGTCACAGCTGAGCTCGAACAGCCCCCCCCCCCGGTCTAAACATCATCAGACTGAGACCATCACCAGGACGACCATTTCCCAGGAGTGAAACTGCACCCTCTAATGGTCAAATGAAAATGGCACTGGAACATATTAAAGTTCAACAAAATGTAATTATGTTGTAAAGTTATATTTGGAAATTTTTGTTTAGTCATATCAATGTGGAATAGTAATTTAAATGTATTTAGTATGGTTTTACAAATTATTTATCTGGATGAATGAGGCGCTCTCACCTTGCACCCCCCCTAGAGTCACCTATGGTGAATCCGCAACCAACCCCCACATGCCGATTAGGGTCACACTTCAACTTGGGCTAGGAGCTAATGGTGGGGCAGGGGCGGGGCTGCCCTCCTTACTCACTCTGTTTCTCTTCTCCAGCACTTCACTTGGGTTTGTGTTCAGGGGGACGAATTGATTGGGGTCCTCGATTCTGATTGCAGTGCCGCTGCCGTTGCTGGAATCTTCTGCCTTCATCCACTGCAAGACGACGGCGGATTGAGTCGCACACAGATATCACGAGCAAACACTCCTCCACCGGCAGCAAAGCGCAGGATGTTCGCACAGTATGTGCCGGTACGCAATTCAAGCATGCAGTTCTCCAGGTCTCCACACGAGGGCAGTATTGTGTACAAAATAAAAGCCTATTGCGACTTAACCATATATGAAAACCCTCATAAATCACTCGGACGAACTCAAACAATACTTCTGTCCCAACCCTGAATAATCAATCATACAGATGTTACTCAGCATACAACATGACACTAATAAAAATAACAAATCCAGACAATAACATCTGCGGCAGGATGTTCCTGTTGTAAGTCGGCAGGGAACTGAATCGTTTTCAAACTCTCTTTTCCTTCTAAAATCCATTTAAAAAGCCACAATCATAGTTGCACATATCCTGTTCCTTTGTGTACACAAATTTCACTTGGTTTGTCTGGAGGACAATACTTCCAAGGGTTCCTATGGAGGGGCGGGGGGCAGACCAGTAGCACCTGACAGACCCAAATCTCGAGGTTCACTCCAGAACTGGGCTGGAGAGATTCAGGTACTGATTCATGGTACTTTACATGTAAAACAGCATAATCATGACCTCAAATTACCCATAATGGTAATAGGGACGTAAGCAGGGCAGATACAACTGGATGTGGAAACGGACGAGACTGTGCATTTCCGTTAACGCTATGAGCCACCAAGATGCCAATCATAACCTGACCATTGAGGTTTGGCCATCTGATAAAAGTTCTGAAAGAGAACCGAGCACATGAGCGCCCCCTAGCTGCGAGGAATGGAAGCTCACCATGGTCTTGGTCCGGGGGCTGCCAATGTCCTCTTTGTAAGCGTCCTCTGCCACGCTGACCTTGGTGTAGCTGTTGGGTGAGTTGAGCCACCGGGTCTTCTCCCGCTGCTGTCGCTGGGACAGGAGGCGCAAGGGACGCCGCGGGGCGCCGTCCTCGTCGTCGAACACGAAGGCCGTAACCGTGGCGGGGATCTCCACCTCGCTCTTGTGACGGGGCTTCTCCCGCACAATGGGGTGTCGGTAGGCGTAGCCTGTCCGGTAGCCCTGAGAACAACATTGCGCTTTAGCGCCCCCCTACTGCCAGAAATGTCATTACAGCCCGATCATCTCTCTTCTCATGAACATCCTGAATTTGTTAGGCTCTCCATTTCCCAGCAGTCAGATAGTTACCAGGAGAAACAGGGTAACGTTCCCTGTAGCGAATTTAAGAGTCCTACTCTGAAAAGCAGCTGTTTTCTTTTGATATCTAAATTTGTAAGTCCTCAGTTTCCTGTTATTGAAACGACAGATTAAAAAAAAATCTCTGTTCTCAAGTTTTTCTGTGCCGCAGTGACCAATGCGTTGGGTAAACAGCAGCAAATATGTTCAGCAGAGGCAGCGACCACAGCTGGGACTGATACTGCCTGTCAGGTCTCAGTTTAACTCCGAGTTCCGGCCAGGAGACTCAGACGCCACAGCTACCAAGTAGAGGGGTGTAAAGGAAACATACTGGAGACTTGGGGGGCAGCTGGGAGGAGCCTTACCCCCCCTTTCTGCTGCGTTAGCGAGCCACTGAGCCCATGGTCGATGACTCAAGGTCATCTAACGAGTTCCCCGAGCAGTTTCCTTCAGGCGACCACGGGGCAGGGGTCACGAGGCAGGTGACAGAGTCACAGGAAAGGGCGACCTGGTGCCCAGACGCACCATCTGGGCTCGTGGTGGTGCAACGACGTGTGGACATTCACACAGCAGAGGCCAACGCTCACAGCGGCTGCATCGGGAAAGCCTGTCCAGAGAAGGAGAGCCAGCAGGACCTTCACAAAGATCTGCAGATCTTCCGATTGGGCTTGGGGAGTTACAGTCGAGTACCTCGCTCCAGCCGCCTCCTCGGCCTGGTTCCTTGACCGGTAACCCCCCCTGCCCCGCCCCTTGGCCCCTCCCCTCCCCAGTGGCCCCGCCCCTCACCAGGTTGTCCAGCATCCTCATCAGGGACTCGAACTCCAGTTCCCCCGCTTTCCACTTGGTCTGGCTGCCCATGTTGACCCCGGCGAGTGCCACTCCGTGGGTCCTAGGCTTGTACTTCTCCACATCCAGAACTATGAGGTTGTCCATTCCTCCAGCACAGGAGAAAGCGTTTACCTGAGGATGCACAGATCAAGAAGCTGCGATGGGGGGCGGGTGGTGGTCGTGTTTGTGGCTTTGCACCTGTGGGGGGCCTCCCACACATATGGGTTTACACAATTTATTTACATAATAATGAACAACATGTTTGGAACCTTTCACTTTTAAATTTGTCTAATTTTTGTTTATTGGGAAAAAGAATGCATAATGCACACAGACAGGATATTATGGGATCAACAAGGTTAATATGCCTCAGTTATAGAGAGCAGGTTTATTTATAGAAATTAAACAGGCTTTGCAGTGCGGATTATTATGTTTGCTTCATGGGGGTGGATCAGTGCGCTTATTACGCCCCCCACCCCACCCACGTCAGTCAGACCCCCCAGATTTCTAAGCCACTAAATCCCATTAACCTATTTCAGGATAAAATGACTTTTTAGTCCTGGAATTAACAACAAAACAGTTTTATTACTATGTTACAGTGTAACCACTTGTGGGGGGGGGGTTAACTAGGAATTTATAGTGAAGAAAGTCAGGTTGAGTTCGACTTCAGAAGACAAAAAGATCAGTAACACATAGTTGGACACGACCTCTGGAAACAGTATATAGTCCACAAACTGTGTGCATGCGTGTCTGTGCGCATTTACATCACAGATTCATTTCAGTCATCATGTTCACTCCTGCCAAAACACATTGCACTTTCAAGCTTTAATAAATGTTAATGCTTATCATCAGGAGTTTATTTTTCCTTTGTTTAAACGGATAAAATCAAAGTGTTTCATATCAAAGTGGAAACCAGGACACACCATTTCTGGTCCTGGGGGGTCAGTCTGCACCACAGTTACTAACACACCTTATTCACCAGCTAATTACCAGGTTTAGCAGGTGTGTTTGAGCAGGGAAGTCAGCAAACTGTGTTACAGACTGGCCCTCCAGGACTGGATTTGTGGAATCCTGGTGTAGACTAAAGGCAGGAGTGGAGTCAGGCGGCCAAAAGTGTGTTGAAAGGAGGAAGATTTGCAGCGTTTTAACGAAAGGAACTGCTGCTGGTCAAACCCGTTTGGGAAGCTGAACCAGGGATAAAAATGTGTGTGTGTGTGTGTGTGTGTGTGAAAGAGCAGGGTGCTCACATCACTGGGTGTGAATGTGTCGGGATTCAGAGGGCACACGCCCAGCGTGTAAAAGTGTGCCTCACTTATTCATACGCGCATGCCATGCCACTTCCAGTAGCCACTCTAATAGCACAATAATCCTATAATAATAATAATCCTTTGACATATTTATTTACGTTGAGCTACTTGACAGGTATCACCGAGAAACGTATGTCTGCTACCTGGTGCCATTACATCATGACTGTGTCATTCCAAGACTGAACAGGGAACGGCAAAAACAGATACACTTGTGTGAGTGATGCTAATGCGAAGGCCGACGCTATTGCTAATGCTAATGCCGACGCTATCGGTAATGCTAATGTTAAGGCCGACGCTATCACTAATGCTAATGCCGACGCTATCGGTAATGCTAATGCTAAGGCCGACGCTATCGGTAATGCTAATGCTAAGGCCGACGCTATCACTAATGCTAATGCCGACGCTATCGGTAATGCTAATGCTAAGGCCGACGCTATCACTAATGCTAATGCCGACGCTATCGGTAATGCTAATGCTAAGGCCGACGCTATCGCTAAAG